GCATCTCTCCCGCGCGCGCGAGGTCGGTGACTCGGCGTACCCGGGCTGCAAGCTTGTCCCCTCGACCGCGGCCTGCAGGGCCCTGGCGTGTCTGGTCTTCCATGGAGAGCCAGGCAGCATCCCATTGACACGCAAAGATCCAGCGTATGCGTTCTTGGAGCCGTTCACGGCGCGTGGTCGGCGTAGGCGTCGAGCCTTCATTAAGGAGGAGGCCATCCAGCGTCGCGAACACCCTCCAGAAGTGCTCTGGTGTGGCTGCCGGCATGCCGTCCCAGCTTGCGTGAGCCTGCTCCAGGGCTAGGCACGCCCGCGCCTTGACGTGGCTGACCGCAGCGACCATGCTGTCGGGGATCATGGCCGTCGTGGGAGCTCCCTGGAGCAGGACGCGTTCCCAGCTCACGGTATCCCACCACTCCAGGTTAGCAAACCCAATCTCGTGGTAGGAGTCATCCGCACTCAAGTGCTCGTCAAGGTAGTCGCATAATTGACCGTCATCCTCATCCTCCTCGTCAGGCCCACCTTGGGGCGCCTCCAGGGGAGGTTGTAGAATAGCCGCAGGGGGCGGCGGATCGGCTTCGGCGACCTGCAGCGGATCGTCGGGCTGCCGCGGGCCATGCGCGCGCGGAGCCGCCGCTAGGGGGGGGGCGGAAAGGGGGCCTCAGGGCGTTCCTGGCTCCCCCTTCCGCAGCGCCCTCCTGCGGGGGTCGCCCGGGGGCCTGAGCCGCCACGGGTTCCTGGAGCGGCAGGATCGGGCCTGCGCGTGCGTCCAGGAGCGGCAGGACTACGAGTACGACTGCGACTACGACTACGACTACGAATATCATTACCACTACTACTACTACTACTACTACTACTACTACTACTACTACTACTACTACTACTACTACTACGACCACCACCACCACCACCACCACGACCACCACCACACCTACTACTACTACTACTACTACTACTACAGCTACTACGACTACTACTACTACTACTACTACTGCTACTACTACTACTACTCCTACAACTACTACACCTACTACTACTACTACTACTACCGCCACTACTACTACTACTACTACTACTACTACTACTACTACTACTACTACTACTACTAGTACGAATACGACTACGACTACGACTACGACTACGACTACGACTGCGACTACTACGGCTACTACGACGACGACGACGACGACTACTACTACGACGACTACCACTACTACTTCTACTACTTCTACTACTACTACGACTACGACAACTACAACTAGTACTACTACTACTACTACTACTACTACTGCTATTACTGCTACTACTACTACTACTACTACTACTACTACTACTACTACTACTACTACTACTACTACTGCTACTACTACTACTACTACTACTACTACTACTACTACTACAACTACCAATACTACTACTACGACTACTACGACTGCTACTACTGCTAACAATACGACTGCTACTACCACTACCACTGCTACTAGTACTACTACTACTACTACTACTACTACTACTACTACTACTACTACTACTACGACTACTACGACTACGACTACTGCTGCTACTACTACTACTACTACTACTACAACTACAACTACAACTACTACTACTACTACTACTACTACTACTACTACTACTATTTCTACGATTACTACCACTATTGCTACTACGACTGCGGCTACGACTACTATTACTACTACCACTAACATTGCAACAGCAATAAGTACCACTACTACTACTACTACTACTACTACTACTACTACTACTACTACTACTACTACTACTACTACTACTACTACTAGTACTACTGCCTCCGCAACTACCATATCGTTATCGTGATCGCCGTCAGCGTCATGATCGACATCATCGCCGTCATCATCGAAACCTCATTGTCATCGTCACCATGACCAGAAGCCACACTGAGCATCACTATCACCATCACCACGGTCATCACCATCACCATCACCATGACCACCACCATCATCCTCACACCATCAACGCCATCACCATCATCATGAGTATCGCCAACACGGTGCGGTAGAACGTATCAAAGGTTACAGCTCTGCAGAAAGAAGCTCGGGAGCCTCCTGACTCACACGCCAACGAGGCCCCTAAGAGGCCCCCAGTGGCCCCAAACAGGCCTCCAAGTTGCCTCATGAGATCTGCAAGAAACCTCCAAGAGGCACCCAAGGGCGTCCAAAAGGCCCCACAGAGAACCTCTGGAAGCCTCTATAGTTGAGCAGGGACCAACCGTCCCGGCGTTTCTATAGGCCTACCACGAAATATTCTTAGAACCCAGAAATGTTCGAAAAACAATTACCCTGGCGACGTACCCAACCCCTGCGCAAAAGCGGGGCGCAAATAGTTTAGGATACTTTATAAGGGGGCGATGACGGAGCGAGGGTTACATATGTCTGCAGACGGAATTCGGGAGACTCGCAGGACACTGGCTACAGGAAAAGGGCTTGATAAAGCTGATGATTTACAATTCCTGAGCACTCCTAGCCACTTCGAAAACGGGGATCACAGCAGGCCTCGAAAGTGGCGACAGGTTCACAGATCGCAGCCCCGCAGGGATGGCGAGGTCTCATTTGAATCTGCCCGTGGCCCTCACTGTGCTGGGCCCCCCAGCAGGCCTCGAAAATGGCGGCAGTTTCGCAGATCGCAGCCCCCCAGGGATGGCGAGGTCTAATTTGAATCCGCGCGTGACCCTCACTGTGCTGGGCCCCCCAGCAGGCCTCGAAAATGGCGACAGTTTCACAGATCGCAGCCCCCCAGGGATGGCGAGGTCTAATTTGAATCCGCGCGTGGCCCTCACTGTGCTGGGCCCCCCAGCAGGCCTCGAAAATGGCGACAGTTTCGCAGATCGCAGCCCCCCAGGGATGGCGAGGTCTAATTTGAATCTGCCCGTGGCCCTCACTGTGCTGGGCCCCCCAGCAGGCCTCGAAAATGGCGACAGTTTCGCAGATCGCAGCCCCCCAGGGATGGCGAGGTCTAATTTGAATCCGCGTGGACCCTCACTGTGCTGGGCCCCCCAGCAGGCCTCGAAAATGGCGACAGTTTCGCAGATCGCAGCCCCCCAGGGATGGCGAGGTCTAATTTGAATCTGCCCGTGGCCCTCACTGTGCTGGGCCCCCCAGCAGGCCTCGAAAATGGCGACAGTTTCACAGATCGCAGCCCCCCAGGGATGGCGAGGTCTAATTTGAATCTGCCCGTGGCCCTCACTGTGCTGGGCCCCCCAGCAGGCCTCGAAAATGGCGACAGTTTCGCAGATCGCAGCCCCCAGGGATGGCGAGGTCTAATTTGAATCCGCGCGTGGCCCTCACTGTGCTGGGCCCCCCAGCAGGCCTCGAAAATGGCGACAGTTTCGCAGATCGCAGCCCCCCAGGGATGGCGAGGTCTAATTTGAATCTGCGCGTGGCCCTCACTGTGCTGGGCCCCCCAGCAGGCCTCGAAAATGGCGACAGTTTCGCAGATCGCAGCCCCCCAGGGATGGCGAGGTCTAATTTGAATCCGCGCGTGGCCCTCACTGTGCTGGCCCCCCAGCAGGCTCGAAAATGGCGACAGTTTCACAGATCGCAGCCCCCCAGGGATGGCGAGGTCTAATTTGAATCTGCCAGTGGCCCTCAGTGCTGGGCCCCCCAGCAGGCCTCGAAAATGGCGACAGGTTCACAGATCGCAGCCCCCCAGGGATGGCGAGGTCTAATTTGAATCTGCCCGTGGCCCTCACTGTGCTGGGCCCCCCAGCAGGCCTCGAAAATGGCGACAGTTTCACAGAGCGCAGCCCCCCAGGGATGGCGAGGTCTAATTTGAATCCGCGCGTCGCCCTCACTGTGCTGGGCCCCCCAGCAGGCCTCGAAAATGGCGACAGTTTCACAGATCGCAGCCCCCCAGGGATGGCGAGGTCTAATTTGAATCTGCCCGTGGCCCTCACTGTGCTGGGCCCCCCAGCAGGCCTCGAAAATGGCGACAGTTTCACAGATCGCAGCCCCCCAGGGATGGCGAGGTCTAATTTGAATCCGCCCGTGGCCCTCACTGTGCTGGGCCCCCCAGCAGGCCTCGAAAATGGCGACAGTTTCACAGATCGCAGCCCCCCAGGGATGGCGAGGTCTAATTTGAATCCGCCCGTGGCCCTCACTGTGCTGGGCCCCCAGCAGGCCTCGAAAATGGCGACAGTTTCACAGATCGCAGCCCCCCAGGGATGGCGAGGTCTAATTTGAATCTGCCCGTGGCCCTCACTGTGCTGGGCCCCCCAGCAGACCTCGAAAATGGCGACAGTTTCACAGATCGCAGCCCCCCAGGGATGGCGAGGTCTAATTTGAATCCGCCGCGATTACCCTCTATGCAGGACCCCCCAGCAGGCCTCGAAAGTGGCGACAGTTTCACAGATCGCAGCCCCCCAGGGATGGCGAGGTCTAATTTGAATCCGCCGCGATTACCCTCTATGCAGGACCCCCCAGCAGGCCTCGAAAGTGGCGACATTTTCACAGATCGCAGCCCCCCAGGGATGGCGAGGTCTAATTTGAATCCGCCGCGATTACCCTCTATGCAGGACCCCCCAGCAGGCCTCGAAAGTGGCGACAGTTTCACAGATCGCAGCCCCCCGCGGGCAAGACAGGAAGAGGCAGGCAGGAGGCAGGAGGAAGGCGGGAGGAGACGCGACCACACTGCTCTATTCAAAACGAATACCCAACCAAGGAGGGTTGGGAAAAAAAACATCTTATTAGAACATAAACCCGATGTGTTGAAGCAAACAGTCCCAGTCAAAACTGTTATATGAACTTTCGTGGAAACCACAAAGTGTGTTTTGAACATTCTTTGGTAGGCCTATAGGCGAGCCAGGACGCTTCGCCACTGCTTGATATAGGAGGCTCCCCAAGATCAGTCCACATCGCATCCCCCAGCGCGCGGCGAATGATGCGAGGGTTGGTCTCGCCGGCCCGCCCGCCCCCCCCCCCCCCCCTGCAAGCGCTGGCCGTGTGTAAGCAAGCCGCGCCGCAGGCCTCCACGGCGCCGCCCTCCTCCGCCACGCCCGCGGCGTCCGCGGTGTCCTCTCCGATGGCGGCTCCGTCGGGGCAGGGCGAGACTCTCCAGCATGAAGGCAACGGGCCCGCGGTTCGAGGGTCGGCTTTTGCTGGCTCTCCTGCTGCTCCCTCGTCGCCACGGCTGGACTCCCCCAGAACTTCTGGCCAGGACGCACCCCAAGAGACGTCTGGGGGTGGCCTGTTCCTTGGACCGCCACTAAGAGAACGGTTCCTGGAAGAACAGGATCCTGGAGTTTGCTTCGCCCTTCTGGCTCCCTTGGGGCCCTCCATGGGGTCCAGAACCGCCAGAAATCAATTCAGGACGATAAGCTGGTCCTGAGGAAGCCGCTGGAGTACTGGCAACTGGCTCCGGCAGCAGCCCTCTCTTCATGGCGAGACATGGCACGTATCTGAAGTAATACAACGGCCGAAAAACGGGAGGCCCCCAAAATGCCCCCTCGAGCACGCAAGCAAGTGCCAACGACGACCCGACGCGTTTAAGAGTTCCCAAGAGTATCGTTCGCAAGCTGATCCAGAATGCTCCTCGATGGTCCTCGCCGAGAACAATTGTATACGTCCGACCGATGCCAAGTTTTGGGGGGACTTGGGGCCCAATCACTAACCGGCTCCCCTTACCCGGGGTCCTAGCTATACCCGACCATGGGCGGGCCGGAGTCCTCCCCCTCCGACCTCGGCTTCTGCTCCCCCCTGCCTTCGGAGCATCTTTTGGTGGCAACTCACGGGAGATTCCAATACCGTCTTGTTGGCTATTGCGAATCGACGCCAACCGACGCGAATCGACGCTCGATCGACGCTATATCGGGGCTATATCATCGACTACCAGACGCTCATCGACGCTACTGCACTCTGAAGAGGGAACTGCGAGGGTACACAAGACTCCCATGATTTGCAACCGATGCATATTAATTCCCGCGGCGCCACCTCAGACCCCGGCCGGCTCCAAGATGGGGTCTTTGTCTCCAGTCATGATTTTCTCGGGGGCGACGATGGGGGGGAAGATCCCAATGAAAAAAACACTACGTGTATCCAGGGGCGCCGATGGTCCATGGCTTCCGCGAGGGTCCCGGGCGAATACGTGCAATGCCCACCCCTTGGCTATTCGCCCCTACCGATCGGTCGGAAGAAGTAGGTAGAGCCATGAACTAGGAAGGCATTGAGAGTAGATTGGGTGTCCGCCCGCCCCCTGGAGAGGAAGGAAAAGGTGAAGCCACTCGATCATTGAAGCACGAAGGCCCTCAAAGTAGAGACTGGAATCTGGGACTCCAGAAATGCCTCGGCCGATGGGTATCGCCGCCTCCGATGTTCTGCGGCGCCGCTGCTTCTTTCGCAGCAGCGGAGCGCAAGGGCGGCGTCGTCGTCGTCGTCCCTCCTCTGTGCCCCTCGGAGGCCCAGGGGACGGCGCGGCGCCCCCCACGCTCTGCCACCGCATCCCCCCGCCCTTCGGGGCATCTCTGCGTTGGTTCGCTTGCCTCCGCGAGAGCGCCGGCCACTCAGGACCAGGGCTGGAGCTAAACGGTGCTTCCACTATCATGCCGGTTTCGTGGTTTCCATCACCGACATAAGCGTCAGCATCCTCATCCTCATCCTCATATTCCTCCTCCTCCTCCTCCTCCTCCTCCTCATCATCATCATCATCATCAACTCTGGACCAGGGCTCGAGCTAAACAGCGCTTGCCGTTCCCATGCCGTTTCCGTGTTTTCCATCGTTCTGGCTTCGCTCCGCCCTCTTTGCTGCAGAGACAAGGCCAAAACGAAAAGGGCCCCCGACAAATCGCCAAATAACACCGTCTAACGCTCGCGCCCTGGCTTGCCTCCGCAAGAGCGCCGAGACAACTCGGGGCAGTCCAGGCCCCCTCCGACCAGGCCATGGGGCCCTCGCACAGAGCAGAAGCCTCCCAGAAGGGGTACGAGTAGAGCCGGACCTGGGACAGAAGAACATCCCCAAGACCATGAGATCTTCCGTCGGCCAAAACACTCCAAACCAGAAGATCACTCGAGGGTACCCTCCGCCAGGATGCACAAGTCGTCGCCGTCGCCGTCGTCGCCGCCGCGACGCCCACGTATTCACGTTATTACAAGCGGCGGGTCGCGAGCGACCGCGCGCGCCACTGCGCTCGCATCTCCGCTCGTCCGACGAGGGCCCAGGCGGACATCATGATTTTTTTTGAGCTCACAACTCGCTGAAAGTACTATTGGGGGAAAGAAGCCTCTGAATTAGGGTACCCTCCCCGAGCCGACCTCGATCTTGTACCTCGGTCCGACCGTCGACGGGGACGGAGGGTCGCGCCGCATCGGCGATGCATCGGCGACGGATCGGCGACTCGTCCGCCGTGCATCGGCGACGCCGGCGTGGAGCACACCGGGCTCCACACCGAGCCGCATCGCCGACGCATCGGCGACGCGGAGCGATAGTCAAAAAACTCAAAGATGATCACAAATAGAAAATTAGTCCCCAAACCATTGTTTTACAATTTTTGAGTCTTCCTCCTGTAGAGGGACGCCCGACTAAGCTCCAACCCCATCTGCTCCGACCCCACCTTGGACCTTGGAGGCCTGGAAAGAGAGAGAGAGAGAGAGAGAGAGAGAGAGCGAGAGAGAGAGGCGCAAGATACCGCCGGCCGGGCGGGCGCGCCCAGGCAGCCCCGAGCGGCGAGCCGAGGAGGAGGGCCCCCGAAAGCGCGGAACCAGAGTGCAGTTTGGCTCGCGCCCCGACTTGCCTCCACGAACGAGCGCCGACCACTCTGGGCCGTCCTTGGGCGCGAAGCGAGTCAAGGGGGGGCGATCGTGGGGCGGAAGGGAGGGGGGAGGGGAGGGGGAGAAAGGTGCCCTCTTGGGGCCCTGATGATGCGCCCCCTTCCTGAGCCCGAAAGAGCCCCTCAATGGGGCCCCCAAGAGGACCCCTTCTCTGCTACCCTCGCGCCCCCCCCCCCCCCTGCATTATGGCCCCCTTCCTCCCGTTGCGCGGCCCCCAACTGGGCCGCCCAGGCCCCCCGCGCCAAAGGGCGGGGGCGCAGGGCACGGGCAGAAAGGGCGGGCGCGCCCCGCCCGGGCAGCCCCGCGAGCGGCGGAGGCGAGGAGGGAGGCGAGGTGCGGACTGCCTACCAGGACCACCTCAGCTCAAAACCCGAAGGCCGAAATTTCGGGTTGTGTGCTTTCGCTCAATGTTGCCCGACCCCCCCCCCCTCCCCTGGAAGTGAAAGGCAGATCGAGGCCTTCGGGCTGGGAAGCGGTGGCTTGTGGTGGGTGGTGAGATGCAGAGCGAGGAGGGGCCCCCAGGCCGCCGACGAGCACCTCGTCGGTGCCTGCCCTTGCCAACATACGGGGCCAAAAAACGTACACCACCACCACCACTTTCTGAATCCCATCCCTCTCCCAGGAGGGTAGAGGAGGGAGGGGAGGAGGAGGGTAGAGGAGGAGGGTTGGAGGGGAGGGTAGGAGGGGAGGAGAAGGGTAGAGGAGGGGAGGGGAGGGAGAGGAGGGTAGAGGAAGGGAGGAGGAGGGTAGAGGAGGGAGGGGGGAATGGAGGTGGTGGTAGTGTATTTTCTTGGGGCCCGCACAGCCAGGCCTGCCCGCTCGGGGGGGGGCGCCCCTCTGTTTCGGACGCGGAGAGCAAACAAAAGCACCCCCAGAATAAGCACCCCGCCAGGCGAAGCCATCAGGTAAACGTACCCAAAGAAGGAATCGAACAAGGCGGGGCTGTTCAGTAAACGCCCAGGGCCGTTGAGTAAACGCCAGTAATCGGGGTCGGAAGGTTTTTTTGTTCCTCCCTTGGGGACGCCCGTCATTTGTACATTCATCGTGCTACAATACAGCCAACCCGTAAAATAACCGAGGTCACGCTAGCTAGCGGCGGTGTTGGTAAACGGCGATGTTGGGAATATGGTGTTTGCGACGTCGAAGGCGCGCATAACAAATTGTATGACAGCACGAACAGCGCTGTCTTATAATTGGATTCGCCACGAAACACCCCCCCATCTACAATACCGAAGCCTACATCGCCATTACCTACATCGCCGTTAGCGTACCTACGGAAGAAGGATGCGCGGTAAAGATGCAAGGGCCTTGGAAGGCCACGTCGAGGCTAGCCATCGCAAGTGGTTGAGGATGCACCGAAGACGGCCGAAGAGGCAAGGATGCAAGGGTACCCTTGGAAAGTGAATCATCCTTACTGTGCGGGTTGACTGCGCGAAACGCGTAATGAGGAACGAACGGCTCCAAACAGGCTCCACGACATTGACATAGATGTAAGGGAAGGCCCAGAAACCCGAACCCCTTCTGACCCGAGGCGGTCCTTACTTCAGCGTCCTGACCGTGCGGGACGCATGGCATGGGCAAGATGTCCAAAAGCAGCTCCTGCCCCAAACCGACAGCGGCCGCGGCGACGCCAACAGCGAATCCTGCTCAGACTGAAAAGCAGGTGGGGTTGAAATTTGTACCGATGGCGAACGTCTTCTTATTCGGCGTTTCGACATTGGGCGGAAAGGGGGGAGGGAACGGGTGGAGGTTTGGCTCCGGACCTCTGCTTACCGCGACTTTTTGCAACAGTGCGTCCCGTGGGGGAGGCTCCACCCGCTCGAAACAGACGCCCAAACCAACCCAAATCTACTCCATGGGGGGGTGGGGGGAGGGGGGGGTGCGAGGGCCCGCGCCGATCAGCAAAGCGACGAATAAGAAGACGATCGCCTGTTGGATGTTGTACCCATGGTCTGCGTGCCTGCTTCGGTTCCCCCGGGCTGCCCCCCAGAGCGGTGGCGGCCCCTCGACCGGAGGGGCTCGGAGGAGGAGGGAGGAGGGGGGAGGAGAAGGAGGAGAAGAGGGAAGAGGAGGAGGAGGGAGGAGAGGGAGGAGGAGAGGGAGGAGGCGGAGGGAGGAGAGGGAGGAGGAGGAGGAGGAGGAGGAGGAGGGAGGGAGGAGGAGGAGAGGAGGAGGAGGAGGAGGAGGAGGAGGAGGAGGGAGGAGGAGGAGGAGGAGAGGAGGAGGAGGAGGAGGAGGAGGAGGAGGAGGAGGGAGGAGGAGGAGGGAGGAACAGGAGGAGGAGGAGAAGGGAGGAGAAGGAGGAAGAGGAGGAGAAGGAGGAAGAGGAGGAGGATTCCAGCGATTCCAGCATTCGGGGGATTCACGAGTGCAAGCTCGGGCCCACAAATCAAAACAGTCAAGGAGCGGGGAAGGCCATGCCGTACTTGGGGGGCTTGCCTTCAGCCAGCCGCTCAAGATTGCGCCTGCCAGTGGCGGACAGCATATGTGTGCTTGTCTCAGGAGACGCGGGTGGACAAGGCTTGGCCAACTTCTGAACAGTGTTGGCAGCAAAGTACCCGCAGCAACGACAGTACAATATTCCTTTGAATTCAGCCAGGACGTGCGTCGGGTGCGCACGCGGGAAACATGGATGTCCGTTCGGGTTGCCCTGGGACGCGGGGCCAGGGGAAGTCGAAGGGTCCAACCTGCCAGACGACGAGGACCCCAACACCAGCGCACCAGGACACTGACCAGGCCAGAATTTGGCCAGCTCCCCTCGGACAGCAGGAAATCTACAGAGACACCGAGAGCACTTAAAGGATCCAGCTACTTTACACACATCATGGCCCTGCTCACGCAATCTCGCTCTGCGGAGGTTGCTCGAACAGGGTCCTCGCTCTTTGTGGTGCTCCCTACCTAGACGATCCTCGCGAGTCCTCGGGCACATGAGCGAAACGCGCCTGGAGACCGCGAGGAGTCGTTTAACAACACGTAAACAATTTTCATCTACATTAAAAATTCCCCTGACCTTCTCAGCAGGGAGGGCCCCCCACTTGGCAGCTTCCCCCGCAAAGTGATCGGCAACGCCATTGGCGACTAATCCCTGGGGGGTCAGGCGGTGGGCGGAAACCTGCTTGAAGGTGGGGTGGCTCTTGCACCAGTGGACCTCCAGCTGGCCATCTCTGTCGCCAAGCTGGTCCCAGACCTGCTGCCACAGGTCCAGCATGCACGAGTGATCAACTTCAGCGTCCTTCCGAGCAAACGCGCGTGCAATCGGCAGAAAGTCGGTGTACAGCACCGTGTCTCCGACAACTAATCGCAACAGCTGGATCACGGCATATAGTTCCGCACGGGGAGAGGTTTGCTCAACACCAGGAAGGGTTCCACGCAACACGCCAGCCACCTGGAGGGTCCCTGGTTGAAGGTGAACAACGGACCACCCGCATCTCCTCAACCTCCAATCCTTCGCATGATCTCCTCCAGAAGCGTCGCTCCCGAATATCCCCCCATGAATCAGAACACCTTCACGAAGCGCCTCATGAAAAGATCCCCAGGCCCAAACTTTAGTTTCCACGGGAGGCAACACTCCAACCGTCCAGCCAAGGGGAACCAAACCACGAGTCCAGAAACACTCCGATTCAGGCACTCCAGCGAGGGAATCTTGATACATATGGTTAGTGAGGTGTATGTGGTCATCGTCAATGTTCGCATTATCTTGACAGCCCCAGTATCTGTGCCAAGGTGTTTCCTGGCGAACTCCACAACGAGGGCAGACACCATTGCTGAGATAGCCGCTGTCCTTGAGGCGCTGCTCTGGCCACTGGCCGCCAGAGGCGAGGTGATTCAAAATAGCAACACCGTCGAAATCGCCTTGCCGAGAGAGCGATCTCCGCAGCTTACGCAGCACAGTAAAATCGACACCTTCATGCAGACCCTGTCCCCCGTAAGCCTCAGAGGCTTGGACCCAAAGCATACTGCCCACTTGTTTTTCAACCGTCTTCCACAAAAAATACGGAAAATCACGTCGATCAACATGGAGGGTGACACCAGGGAATCTCCACGTACAGGGCTCCAGAGGGTTCCCATTGAGCTCCAAGATACACATGATGACAGACGCTATGGGGCCCCGCACATGACGCCAACGGTGAACAGGTGGAACACTTCGCAACTTAGCTAACAATTTGGGCCAGACTTTGTTCACGCTACAGACCTGGCTAGGGTCGAGGACACGGTAAGTTCGGCTCCATTCCAAAAGATGTTCATAGCGAATCTTATACGCTGGGTCATCAGACATAGCATGATCAAGAGCAAGGAGGGTAGTGGTACAACAGCCAGCATGCCATCGTCCTGTCGCTTTAGCTGCCTGGGCACGAAGTGAACGCATGCGCGAGGGCGGGGTGCCAAGGACTTGATGGCTCCATGTGCCAACTGCAACCACACCTGGCTTAAACAACTTGCGAGCACGACGATTAACATGGGACAGGAACGTGAGCCTCTTACTGCGAAGCCTAGCTTCTTCCTTGCGCTGAGTCATTTTCCACATCGTCCTCCTCCTCCCAGCCGTGGTCCCAACTCCCAAGCCCTTCACATAATCAACAACTTTAAGCGGAACGTTCAGCTCATCACAGAGAGCCTGAAAAGGGCGACCAACTTGCCGAGAAGAGGCGACGACGCACGACTTCGACGAGATCTTACACCCACGACGTCCCAATACATCACAAAGTTCTCGCGCAGCTGGCACCAGTTTGGTAATGATGTCCTGCGCGGAGCCTTGGATGCACTGGGTAAGGTCGTCCACATACGCCGAAATCGGGACTCGAGGGACACGACAATGTGCCGCCTCCAAGATGTCATAGAGATAACATTTGATCCATGGCAGGGACTGGGAACATCCAGCTAAAATGGACTGGCCTGCCTGCATAACACCCGACACCAGGGACTGGACCTCGAGGAGCCTGGGGGAGGTGTGGATCAGGAGGCCCAGGTAGAGGAGCAAGGAGGAGTAGTCGACAGCCTGAGCCAAGCCGATGAGCTTACTTGGGTCGATGGTGTCAAAAAACTTCTCCATATCCCAGTGGCCAGAAACAGAAAAAAAAAAACCTCCACCCGAGCACACTCGTGCAAAACTTCACGGAGCATGGCGGCACGCAAGGCCGACGATTTCTTCACAGCCGCATCCCAGAAGGCGACGTGGGAATCGGTCCAGTCCTGGATTTTGTCCCCTCGGATTCGGGTATACAGTCGGTAGAGGGTGGGGCACTTAGTGATGGGTCTTTCAGACGTCGACGTTTTGGGCAGGAGGGTGACCAGACAAAGATAGACCTGCTGGGGGAACTCAAGGGCATACTCGATGCCATTAAAAATGGTGGCCAAGTGATCCAGGGCTTCACCAGGAAGCCGCATCAAATCACGAGGAGACCACCCGTCCACGCCGAGGGCCGTGTCGGCCGAGAAACACTTGCAAGCCGAGAGTACGTCTTGGCCCTCGATGCCGCGAGCCTCAAGCGCCTCGAGCTCAGCGACAGGTCTGAGGCGCTGCATAGCGTACTCAAGATCACCGACTTGCCTACTCGTCGGCGTCCACCAGGACGCCCAAAACTGTTCGCGATATCTCATCAGCTCTTGGGGGGTTTGGGCAACGAAAGTGGGAGTAACAAACATCTCAACCTCCTTTTTGGCATCAGAACGTAACCAACGGTGCACCACTTTCGCTCCCCCCGCGAGTCCCTTAGCGAGCCAGGCCTGGATGCCAAGGCGATTAGCTTTCCGAGCCGCAGTCCACGCGCGACGAAGGACGGGGACGAGAGCTCCTTGGATGACTTCAAGCTTCCGAGGGTCGCCTGGGATGTCTTGCAACCACCCTGTCCATACAGCAGCTTGCCGTGCATCGGCAAGGCCTTCAAGGTGTAGACCCACCTCATCACCGCGCGCTCGGAGGAGAGTCCTGAGAGCGGTGACCTGGGTGGCGCCTCCCCTCTTCAAGGCGACGGCAAAATCGTACAGGCGGGGCGATATCAGCGCCCAAAAAGCCAGGCAGGGGTGGGAAAAACCTTGTTTCATCACTCCTCGTTTGGGAAGGGTCCGCTCCTGCACAACTACTGCTCTGCCCCTGCGCCCTCCCGGCGACGGCCAGGTGGAGAGGGGGCGGGGGCAAAACAGCATTTCCGCAGCAGTAGACCACTTTTGATAGGATTCCGAGAGTCCTTGCGAGCGCAGGGGCCAGTGAAACTCGAGAAAAGCTCCACGGACTTCGCGAGGTATCTCCACAACTTGGTCGCCAGCACGGTGGACAAAATCACTCCAACGCTGATCAGGCCCAGGGTGGGCCCCGATTGGAACAGGTCGATCACGTTTCATCACGGTGTCACGGAGAACCTCAAGCGACATCTGCACATGCAAGCAGGCGTGTGTCTTAAAAGCGGAGCTCCAATCCGCATCAATCGTCAGGTATGGGCGGATGTCCCGCGAAACAACAGCATAATCGATCAGGCGGCCAGTGCCTTTGTCACAGGTAAAGTCAGTATTGCGGGGGTCCACCGTGACGCCAGAGACAACCTCACAGAATCAACACTGGTGCAACTCGAGGGGCTCCATGTTGAAATCTCCCAAGAGGATCCACGGGCACTCAAGCATCCCCAGGAACTCAACCACTTCATGGAGACGGTCGAGGTTCATACCTGAAGCTCCAATCCCTGAGACGATTTAGATAACTCCCAGAGCGAGCGCACAATGCTGCGTCTTCATTTCCAGGAAAAAACAACTCTGCCCCTGGCCCACGTTCTCGACCCCAGCGGGGAGACTACGTAGGAATTTCTTGCAGTAGACCGCCTTCTGCACGACAGCGCCGACACCACCATGCCATCCTCCGCCAGGCGAGGGAAGGGCTGCTTGGAAGTGCGGGCGCCATCCCATAGATGAGCAGTCTCCCTTGGCGGCCTGTAGCTTGTCGGGTCCCTGATGGTGCTCGGCAAAGAGGTAAACGTCGACATCCTCAACAGCTCTGGCAAGTTCAGACTTGGCCAGTTCAGACCAGCTGGAAACGTTGCAGAACTTGACATCGATAGTCGAACGCACGTCGACCCTCTGCCATCGCTGCCCCAGGGACTCGTCAAACCAACGACGCGCCTTGCACAACTTGGGGGGCTGCCAGGTGGGCAAAAGCGTTGACCCACATATCATTAGCATAAGTAGCCACCTTGAGCTTCTTATGCCCCTGCGCATGAAATTTTTCGACCAGGAGGGTCTCCAACCTCTCGAGGTCCTCAGGCTTACATTGCTCCGCAGAACGCTTGCGAAGCTCAGAAAGCTCCTGCCGATCAGCCTCACCAAGAAGATCGTCATCAGCATCGACAGGAACAGCCTTATGTTCACCACCATTCTCGCCACTCGCACCGTCCATAGCAGCATCTGCACCCTCGTCAGCGCCAGCCTCACCAGGGGCAGACGACGCAGACGCCGAGGAGCCAGGCGAGACCGAACTGAGGACATTGTGAGCGGCAAGCTGGGCGGTGCGCAGGTTGCACCACTCGCTGAAAGGGACCTTGGTACTGTCGGCGAGCTTCCGAAGGTCATCATCTCCCAGGGTATGTAGTTTACCAAGTACTTCACGGGCATCTTCAGGTGCATGGCCTGCTCCAGAAACGCCATGAGCGCCTCCGGGTTCTCCACCAGGTGGGCCGTCTGCACCAGCGAGGGGGGGCCGCGCAGCAGCTTGAGCGGCCGCCGCAGCCTCCATCTTCTGCTTCTTGAAAGCGGCCTCGTCAAACCTGTCCTTCTTTTCCTTGGCGACGGTGTGGGCGGACTGGGCTTCCTCAAGGTGCGATGAGGCTTCGGCAAAGGCAGCCTCGGCCTGCTTGACCTTCTCACGGGCCTTGAGCAAAGCCTCCTGACGCTCAGAGCGACTCTGCCAGGCCAAGCGCTCAGCCTTGGCAGCCTCCTCCACGCCCTTCGCCAAGGCAGTCCGCTCTCCAGCCACCGCTGCGTCCAGCTGCGCATCGGACGGGACGTTCGGCGGTGGTGGAGGCGGCAGGTGGTTCGCAAGCACATCTCGTAGGCCAGGAAATTGAGCGACAGCAGCACTTGCTTGTCCTGACAGGTCGAGAGGACACTGTGAGTCGACCGCCGCACTCGACTCACCCGTAGTCTGATTGCGCATGACATACGATCCGCTGCACCGGCTGCACGCAGCGTGACCATGGTAGAGGTACTCCCAGTGCCCGCACTTGCTGCAGACAGCGTAGGGTGAGGCATCACCATCACGGCGACGCTTGTGGCCACGGCGACCAGCAACACGGCGCTGCTGATCACCTTGCGCACGCCAGGGAGGGGTACGCTCAGCAGTAGTCCACGTCCACGGCATGGCATGCACGCTCCGACAGGAGCTCACAGCGCGGAAGGGGGGTACCGAGCACCAGGTGCCGTTGGGCCGCCAGAAGCCCCTGCGGTACTGGCTGAAAGAAAGACTGTCGAGCGCAAGCGCTCTGGCACTGCCGCGGACTAGCGGTATCCACTTGTTCCACTGTGGAACTCAAAGCCTTGAGCCAAAATGGCTACGGGGAAGAGGAGGAGGAGGAGGAGGAGGAGGAGAGGAGGAGGAGGAGGAGGAGGTAGCAGACGGGAGGAGGAGGAGGGGGGGAGGAGAGGAGGAGGAGGAGGAGGAGGAGGAGGAGGAGGAGAGGAGGAGGAGGGGAGGAGGAGGAGGAGGAGGGAGGAGGGAGGAGGAGGAGGGAGGAGGAGGAGGGAGGAGGGAGGAGGAGGGAGGAAGAGGAGGAGGGAGGAGGGAGGAGGTAGGAGGGAGGAGGGAGGAGGAGGAGGAGGAGGAGGAGGGAGGAGAGAGGAGGGAGGAGGAGGAGGAGGAGGAGGAGGAGGAGAGAGGAGGAGGAGAGGAGGAGGAGGAGGAGGAGGAGGAGGAGGAGAGGAGGAGAGGAGGAGGAGAGGAGGAGGAGAGGGAGGAGGAGGAGGAGGAGAGGAGGAGGAGGAGGGAGAGGAGGAGAGGAGGAGGAGGAGGAGGAGGAGGAGGAGGAGGAAGGAGGAAGAGGGCGGAGGAGGAGGAGGAGAGGAGGAGGAGGAGGAGGAGGAGGAGGAGGAGGAGGAGGAGGAGGGGACGGGGAGGGGGAGGAGGAGGGGGGAGGAGGAGGAGCGAGGAAGGAGGAGGAGGAGGAGGAGAGGAGGAGGAGGGAGGAGGAACATGAGGAGGAGGAGGAGGAGCAGAGGAGGAGGAGGAGGAGGAGGAGGAGGAGAGGAGGAGGAGGAGGAGGAGGAGGCCAAGTCCAAGCGCCCCCAACCGAACCCAAAAGGAACGGGAGGAGGGCCGAAATGAGAGAAAGGCGTCAGCCAAGCGCTGACAACAAGAAGGGGTCAGCGTTCCGCTGACGGCAGCAGCGAGCCGCACTGCTGCCGAGGACGTGTGCTAACCGCGCCAAGCGGTAGGCACTCCCTGGTTCGGTCACCTGGCCCGGCAAGGGGCCAGGGAGGAAGCAGGGGAGCCCAAGCAGGCAGCAGTCAGGCCCGCCTATACACTAGCCATCTCCTTCCCAGATCGTGGCTCGAGGCCCTTCTTCACCCGCTTGATATGCGAGCGGGTGTTGGCCAGCGTTGACTTATTGTTGGGAGGGCCTGGGCACACGAGGAGGAGGTCCCGAGCGAATTTCAAGATGTTGGGAGAGTAGGCCCCACATCGTTCACAAATAGCAGCAGGGCCCCATTTAGCCAGCAAGTGACCCTCACCGAGGACAGGGGGCCCAGAACACTTCGAGTTAACAAGAGTTTGAAAACTGGCTGGCGTCCGTGCGACACGCAGGCAGTGCGTGCAACGAATGCATGACTCACTCACTTGTTCGAACATGTGCTGCGTGAGAGACAAAGCAATACTTGCAGAAGGGGCCTTCCTTCTCGGTTCTGCCCCCGCCTCGAGGTACAGCCGAACAGCACGAGCAGCAAGAAATCCAAGGTATCGGGCAGTCTGTTTGGCCTCCTTTAGCAACACTTTGTGATTATCGGCAAGAGTGTTGGCGACACA